TTACATGTTCAGTCAAATGAAATACCTACATTCAACGCCCGGTGTTAAGGAGAAAAAATATATACATGAGTCAGAAAACTATATATCATAATGCATACAGTAGCAGGGAGTTCTGAAAATCACAACATTATCTACACTATAGAATTTTAAGGTTTGGGCCATAAACATGATGGAAGAAGGAACTAGCAATTCATGTTCTGCAAGCTATTGTCGTTTTGAACTGAAATTGGCATTTCTTTGCGGGGGTTCAGCGATTAAAAATTTTGTTTCATTTAATCGTGTCCAAAGTTCAAGATATCTTTTACATTTTGCAGACAGAAATGAGACTAAAATATTTACAAGTATCACTTTTCTTTTGAATTATTTCTTATGTTAAAATCCTCAGCCATTTAAAAAAAATGATAGGATGCAAGCACGACACGAAAATACAAAAATATTTATAAGGAAAATCAAACAAAGAAAAAAGAAAAATATGTCCCACACAAGCTTTTTACAAATACCTAATGTCCAAAACTAAACGTTTGAATCATTCACTCTGGCGCATGCGCACATCTACACCAGTTTTTCAAAAAACTTCAGATCCTACAGTGGGTCTTCGCTTTTACTGTTCATCTGTTTGTCCGTCGATAATTGCGACTGTACTTCTGTTGGCCTGTTTATCTCTCTGTCTGTGTGTCTGCCTGTCTGACTCAGGGTTGTGCATATACCATGATAACTTTATATTTTTTAAATTAAAAAGGTTACATGCATGGAATTCATATACCATAAATTTTGTCTTCTCCGAGTTCGATTATTTGTAATTTTACGCCTCGTAGGCCATAATTATGAAAAAGAAAAAATCTTTGCTACTACCTTGCATATCCTATTTTTTTAAAACCCTCACAAATAATACATCGCGGCAAGACAACCCGTAACAAGTTCCAACACAGTACTTTTGTGGAAAAGCAGTGGCCCAAAACAGGTTCAGCTGGTGTTACCCATACCTAAGATGTTTTCAGTAAAAAAAAAACAAAATGCAAATAATACTTAGTGCATGGCGGTCACAAAAGCAGTGAATGCTCTAGAGCTCCAAACACCTTTTACGAACATCATTGAACTAAAACATACCTCAAGAGGCTTCGGTTAAGATAATTGCACCAATTAAATTCTGGTTTTTCTTTAAGAATCTAAATTTCCAAAAAATGGATGTTGGTTCAACATTTATTCAGTCGTTATGTGTCCTTCTCCGAGCTTTGTCTGTTCACCGTCACTGTCCCCTTGACGTATCAAGGAGTGGGATAGACAAGTAGAGACAAGCCAGAGGTGCTGCGGTTTTTCGTCTTGTATTTATGTCTCCTTCATCTAAACCGACTTAATATGGCATACCTATCAAAAGAATAGGACAAATTAAATATGATGCTCGAAATCGTATAATCCCTGATGTGAAAGCAGTTTCATGGTATATATTTTTATAATCTTGAAAATTCACTGTGTCCATCATTTCCCTCTTCAGTCTTAGGGTGCATTCCCAGAGATTTAGATTTAGATCGACCTAACTCCCTGGGGGTTCACGCTAAATTGCAGTCAGCCGAGCGCGCACCATAGCTAATTACCCCCTTACAGTTTTTAGTAGGCAGGACAGATGCTTAAGCCGGCTAAGCTGACAATAATCTAGTGAGACTCCCCACAGGGATAGATCGATCTAAAGTCTATGGGAATGGGGTCTAAGCCAAGCTATTATAACTACATGCGATGGAAAAAAACAAATTAAATTAAAGGAACGGGGTCAGTCAATGTATAGCGGGGGCAGTTAAAGCTCAAAGGTTCCAAACGTTTGACTGTGGACCAGTGCACGTGATGGTGGTCAAGGACAGTTTACTTGTAATGTGACACTGCTGAGGAACATTACAATACAGACAAGGCATGTGTCCGTGGGTCTAATTTTTTTGTTGACAAGGAGGTCTTAGTAGTGGTCAGAGGAAATTTGTACAAAAAATACAAAATAAAATATATAAAATATTACTTGATTTTTACAAACATACGTGTATATTGAAGATACTGTATATGTAGAACATGTGTGTTTAAGGGTAATATATGTTCCCATTACGCATAGGCAAAGTTCGTTGCACCATAATTGATTAAATTTAAGTAGGACACAAATGAAATCGAATTCTCTTTTACGGTACGTTGCGTCCATCGAAACATAAAAGACGGAGAAAGGGAGTGTTGCCACACAGTTCATTTTTAAAACAGCGTTATAATACAAACATTCCTAGCTCCTCAAGATGAACAACACCAAGTTGGTCGCAATCCTCTTAGTGGTAATACTGATGGTCTGTTTATCCACGGATTCGGAAGCCGGTAAGTTGTAAGGAAACATGGCGAGTGATAGAATACAATAAAGTTGTTTTTTATGTTTTAGAAGCACATATTAATTATAATTACGCGTAGTCTATGGGATGTCATTCTAATATAAAACAAAACAGAGAACCGCATCTACACTGTAACAAGAAAGACTCGAGGACAAACAAGAAAATAATTTATTTTGAGATGACATGTTTTGCTTTATTCTTTTTTAATGCTAAAGCGGTCCGTCTCAGAAGAAGAAGATCGGTGCGTATATGAACAGTGAATGAACAACGCACTTTAAGCAATTTATATTTATCAGCAGATTTATGCTTATTAATATTAAACACCTAAAGATATCACTCATATTTGAAACAATTTTATAGCAGATTCTTTTGCGTATTTGCTCGATTTTTTATCATGGAAGTATGTAGCAAGATAGTTAATATAACAGGAAAATATAACAATTAACTTTTATTAGCAGATGTGCTACAATATATGTCACAGCTGAAGATGTCACTTGTTAGAAATGTTTGTAACTCTGTGTATGTTTTTTGTAAAAAATGAAGATAATGTGTGGGCGTCGATTTTTTTATAGATTGTTAATGCAGAAGATTTGAAGACGATCTTGAAGAAGGCTGCGATGGAATCAGGTGAACAGGACATAGAACTTGGTATCGACAGCGAGTGATTTTCAGAAACATGCTACATACTGAAACGAACCCAACGACACTGATATAATGATACATATATCAAGTGCGACAGCAATTTATTCCAAAAATAAAAGGCAACGTAACGATTTATATCAATAACGCCGCATGACAAAAAATCTAACAGTGCACAATTGGACATTTAGAAGCTTTTCTTTTACTAACAGTGAGATACTTGGCTACGCAAAAGAAGCAAATAATATTTATCGTACGGCATTCCTTGTTTACTTAATATTATTACCAATTAAAGGAATGGTTTTAATTTTAGTTATAAACAGAAGCTATGCTTAAACTCAATTCATGTAGATCCGAATGTTTGCCGCTGGTTACCAGTCTGGACATGTATGCGAGGCAAATATGACAAAAAGGGGTGGTAGTTTGCTATTAAAGAAATAATACATTCTGTTTTCTATAGGCTACTGAATAGACAACTTGCTTGTTCATATATCTAAAATAGAAGTAAACTTAACTGTGTAATTAATGTAAGGCTGCTTGCCCGGAGAATTGACTGTCTTCTACGTTTTTACATACACTGTATTGGTGTTGACTGTCTAATCTGTATCCAAAAATGCCATAGCGTGTTTATCAAAATATAATTCGGTTTGGAAAAATCGTAGAGATTAAAAACTGTCGGTATACACCAAATAATACAAAAATGTGGTCTCTCTATATAAAACCTTAAGTTACATTTTTCGTAGTTCTCGTAAAAATGAGTTGGCGGCCTTCTTCCCCGAGAAAGGACAAACCAGTATAAGGCATATTGTTTGTAACACCGCAATAGCAATATCAACTATAAAATGAATCTTTGTTTGATGTTTTCTGCATGACTAGAAGGAATATACTGCAGGCTTTACTGTTTTAAACCTTGACAAATTTCGCCGGAGCCAATGCCTCCCTGGGCTCAAATTGGCGAAATGGGAAGAATGGCGCTTTGGCAACGATTGTGCACAAAATTGTGGTCATCCGTGGGGGAAAATTGTAAACTTAAAGGAACAGGGTCAGCTATGCATGACGTACGCAGTTAAAGTTGAAGCGTTTAACTGTGGACGACTGCACGTGATGATGGTCAAGGACAGTTTACAAGAAAGGCGACACTATTGAGAAAATTACAGTAAAGAAAGGGCAGGTGATTTTTAACCCAATGCAAGGTATCGGTGTACAGTTTTCTCAAGGGCGAATGAGGTGACAAGATTTTACAGTAGTGTTCAGAGGCTTTTGAAAAAAAACACATTAAAGTAAGTCTTTCACTTGTTTTTACTTACATATATAAATGTCACAAGATAAGTGGTTATAGCACAATGGATGTCTTCTAATAACGCATAGACAAAATCCGCTGCATCATAAATTATTTATTTTAAATAAGATACAAATAAATCGAATTTTCTTTTACGGTGTGTTGAGTCCAACAAAATATAAAAGACAGGTGATGGGAATATTGCCAAGGTCAGTTTACATGAAAGGCGACACTATTGGGAAAATTACAGTTAAAAAAGGACAGGTGATATTATAACCCAGTGCAAGGGATGGGTGTCTAATTTTCTCAGGGGTGAATGAGGTGACAAGATTTTACAGTAGTGATCAGAAGCTTTTTGGAAAAAAATACAATATAGTCCTTTACCTTTTTTCTCACATACATAAATGTCACAGGATATTTGCACAACGTGTTTATAGCACAGAGTATGTATTCTAAAAAACGCACAGGCAAAGTTCGTTGCATCATAAATTATTTATTTTAAATAAGATACAGATAAATCGAATTTCACTTTTACGGTATATAAAAGAAATATAAAATAATAATAATAAAAAATAACGAAATATAAAAGACCGGTAATGGGAATGTTGCCAAAGGTGACACCATTGAGAAAATGACAGTAGAGAAAGGGCATCCGACATATGATACTGAATTTTCTTGTACGGTACGTTGAGTCCATTATTTTTCGCCTTTACGGCATGTTGCGCCCAGAGCATAATAAAAGACGGGAAATGGGATTGTGACGCACTTCACATTTATGACAGCGTTATACGAACATACCGAGCTCCTCAAAATGAACAACACAAAGTTGGTTGCAATCCTCTTAGTGGTACTACTGGTGGTATGTTTGTCCACAGATTCGGAAGCCGGTAAGGTGTAATAAAACACTATGTCATCAAAACGAGAGTGAAAGAAAAATACATGTAATGCGGTTTTGATATACAGTGTACGTATCTTACAATACATATTTGTTTGAGTGTTTTTAGAAGGTCATGCATTGTCATGTCATGTAGTCCGATAATATAATTTTAATATAAATACAGACAGCGAAGCACATACATGTACCACTACGTAATGTAACAAGCACACGGACAGATAGACCAAATGACAAACAAGAAAACAGATATTATTTTGATATGATGTTTTGCGTTTCTTTTGAAATCCATAGGTAAAGGAAGAAGGAGGACACAATTCGTTAATATTCTTCCAAATGAACATGACTCGGTGCGTATGCATTAAGTTGAGCAATTATTGCATTTATGAGCAGATTTATGCTGTCCTAATCTTTATTAAAGCTAATAATCAAAATTGAAACGATTTAATAACACTTAGATTAAACACTGGTATCTGCTTAATTGTTTTCAATCAGATTGTGTAATGTAGTGCTTATTAGAAATATGTGGAACACTGAAGTCACTATATTCTGTGTCGTGAAATAAATACGGCATGACCGCTTCTTAAATATTGAAAATCATGCACTCTATAATGTGTATAAGAGCGTTTAGCTCTTTTTTGTATAGTTTGGTTATGAAGATTTGGGGAGAAATATGAAGAGAGATGTCACGAAACTCGATGAACAAGACGACCAAAAAAGGTAACGACGCCGAGTGAAGCAAAGAAACATGCCACATGCCGCTTGAAACGAAGGCAACTTCAACTTCCCTGATCTATCAAGTAATTTATGACAGATATAGAATGAACGACGATTTATGCCAGTTAGGCAGCAATCCACGAAATCTAACAGTGAACTTTAGTGCATCTGGAAACTTTGCTCTTGCCTACAGTGATATACTGGAAATATATGTACTTAAGCCATGGAAACGCCAAACAGACCAATAATCCTAAAAGTTAGTCGACACCGCCCAAAAATGTAATGGTAGTGATAGTTATTAAGTACTTATTGTTTATCTGCCACCATTATTAATCAGTAAAGGGTACAGTTAGATTAAGGATTGCTTTGATTTTAAATATTATATAGTGGAAGCGACTAGCACTCAATCCATGTAGATCTGCAGTGTATACGCCGACTGTTGCAGTTTTGTCCGGACATACGCGTAAGGCAAATATGGGGAGACAATTGGTAGTATACTATCAAAGATATAATGCATTCTGCTTTAAGTAGGATGATAACCAGATGATCTGCTTGTGCATCTATCTATGTTTTAAGCCCACTGTATTGCTGTATCCCGACTCGCGATTGTTGGTTACAAAAATGCACTGTGAATTAGAAAGATCAGAGACACCCAAGACTATTAGAATATACCGAAAACCCCACAAACGAAATTTGTGCAATATTGTTTGTAAATAAAAACTTTTGCTGACTCATTGCATCATAACTTTTAGGATGATGAGTCGTATGGAATATTTGATATATAACTTTTATCCCTTAGGCCATAACATTTATAACAGGCAACAATTTGTTACATTGTTAGTATAGTGGGGTTATATAATAAATGCGGCCTCGTTTGGCCAAATATCGAACAACCAATATTCTTTGTTCCCTTCTTTCTTGTTGTGAATGGAACTTAAAAGTTTGTGGTGCACTAGGAAGGAGGAGGAGACATAAGACATTTGCCCCCATTTATACCACGTTTAGTCATATTGATAAAATGCCACAGCTAACCAACTGGAATTGTACGCGTTCCAGTGCAATAATTCATTTGAAAATAAACGAGAGTTATGATCTTTGTATCGCATTGCAACAGAATTTTGAGATGTAGTCTGTGACAATACAAAGTAAAGTAAAATTGTAGACCTTTATATTATAGTGACAATTTCAGGTCACAAGGTAACGCTTGGTAAGGGCCCCTTTACACTGGACGGCGTCCTTTCTGCGTCCAGCAGTACGGCCCCATTTGAGAGTTAAAAAATTATAATACTTTACGTGCCGACAACTGGTCATTGAGCATTCATTCTGATACAAAATCAATGCTTGTGCCTCCTTATTAAGACCACAGCGATGCCAAATTTCATGGTCGCAGAAAGGACGCAGAAAGGTCGCCGTCCAGTGTAAAGGGGGTTTAAATGAATATAATAGGACACAAGGTGTTGCATGAAGTGTCTCTTCAAGCGTATCCTTGGAAAGTGTTCCCTCACCTTCAGGGGATTAAAAGATAAAAACAATACATACAAATGTTTTAGATATTTTACCACGCTTCCCAGCAAACTTTTAAAATGCACTAGTGATCTGAGACAGTACAAAGCAGACTTATTTTAGTGGCGGCAATTTTATGGCAAGATCTGACATGCAGGTAAAAGAACTACTGTAACACAAGGTGCCACATGAACTGACGTGTCTTTACAAACTTTCCCATGCAAAAACGCCCACTTCACGGGTTAGCCCCAATGGATTAAGCGATGAATCAACCTATACATACAGAAGCTTATATATCACACACCATTTATTGTATTAATGAAAAACAACGTTAAATATCCTGCGGTATTTCGGGATTGGCATAAACATATATTGAAATAGAGTGGTGGAGTGACTGAAGCTGCATCTTGCAGGGTAACGTCTTGCGTGTTTTTACAAGGGTAACGTTCAAAAACACTGCCTAACTAAACTGAATGTGTCCAATACAAGTTTCTAGTTATTTTGGCGTTATGCAGATAACTCGAATGTGTCTTATTCTTACCCCCCCCCCTTGCCCCCTCGACCCCACCTTTTCTGGACTGGCTGTGTTTCACGATAACTTTCAATTTTACAATTTGTTTGAGTTTTAAGTTTTAGAAATCTTAATGCAGACAACATCAAGCTTTCAAAATCCCCATTCATTTCACATTTAAAATATCCTTTTTGTGATTGACCGATCCTAGTCTGTCGGAGTTCGCATTTGATTGGTCGCACCATTCCTACAATACTCTTCTGGAATGCGATGCTTCTCTAACACAATTTATGAAGAGACGGGGTGAGCTCTCGTTTTTTTTTTTTTTTTTTTTTTTTTTTTTTTTTTTTTTTTTTTTTTTTTTTTTTTTTTTTTTGTGTGTGTGTGTGTGTGTGTTTGAAATGCATAAAAGCTGCTTTCGCCCAACATCAGTTAGAAGTTAAGCAAGTTTAAGATAGATTTTAGTTTATAATGTCAAAATGTCTCACAAGAGAACAAGCAGAAAACTAATAAAGTAAGTGCAATGACACATTACTGCGTAGAAAACCTTATTTTCGAAATAATAAAATAATCCACATTATATTCAATATTAATCACAGTATTTTATTGTTGATAGTCGTTATCTCACACATCTAACAATAATGGGCTCCATCGTGGCAATCTGCCAACGTCTAGACACTCACTTACTTTGCTAATTTTCATTAATTAACTGCATGCATTTTATAAGAAAAATATGTATTTATACATACAATTCTATTACATATCATGTATGAAATAGATATAACAAGGTCAAAATGAATATTTAATGCAGCTGCATCTGATCTATAGAGTCACTACGTACTTTAAAAAAACTCCGTTTAAGCAAATACCAGATACTTCAATGTAGAGCAACACTCTGAGTCCGTTACTTTGCTAGCGTCTCTTACTAGATTATATTTGATAGGGCATATCAAATAAGCCAAACAAAACATCAGTTTTTTACCCTCTACAATAGAGCAGTGGCGACACTTGTAAGCTAATATCATGTAATAACTGGCGATAATTGGCAAAGGGCTGTTGTCCTTCCGGTGGTGCTTCCGGTGGTGCTTCCGGATTTTGCTCCAGTTCACAGGTATGCTGGGAACTCGGCGCACTTCGGCGGCCCGTCATTAGGCACAATAAGAGCCACGCCGTTCTTGTTGTCATCTTCAACCAAGTCTATGAACGCAGCAGCCACTTCCGCTGGTCTATGAAGAAGACAAATGTTAAAAGTTTGTGTTGTTAATTTTCAGATCTGTTGATATAAGTAAAAACCTTTAAGATAAACAAAATGTTAGGGCAAAACACATGCCTGTTTATCAAACGAATAAAGAAAACTACCACCACCCCTTATTATTATGGAGTTGGAACAAACTTGCGAGTGAATTTTGAAATATATGTACAATTCGCTTACTCACTTAAGTTTCTCTTGCATCCCGTAATCCTGAAGAGGTTTGAGGGACAATATTTTCCCTTGTTTCACTCCGTCCTCGGTCCAACATTTGACAATATCAGTGTCAACCAAACACGGACACAGACAGTTCATCCGTACTTTGTGCACTTCCATATCAGGGCTTGCCTGAAAGATGTGGTTGGATCGTGTATGAGAAAAGTAAGATACTGTACAAATGTACGTGTGACACATCAGAACCAAGCCCTGTTCTTGACTGACCTTGGTCACACCAGAATACTGATTAGGATTGTATAATATTTCATTAAAAACAGTCCAGATTAGAATCCTTAAAACATTATAAGCACACTTTATATTGTAGCATCTTCGAGGGATTTAAACCATAATCATGCATTGCCGCAAACACAAGTGCACTTTTTATCACGAACACTTGCTGACGAAATTATCATAATTGTCATATATTTATATCCAGTAATGTATCAAATATAAACAATGGAAAATGTGAAAGGTGGGTACCGTGAGTGTGAGAAAAAAGAATGGAAGCAAGGAAACAGAGCTGCTTACAGCACAAGATCTTGTAAATCCAACAACACCGTGTTTTGATGCACAGTATGCAGGAAAACTAGGGAAATGAAGAAGACCTGAAATTATAAGAATGCAACTATTACAACTATACTCATCGTATTCACGAAATAAATAATTTATTGCACTTTACTTGTATCTTGTGTAATGAATATAAAAGTGCAAAGCGACCAGCTATATATTTTGGCTTATGTGGCATAAAGTGGTGAGCCTTCATTCATCAAAGGGCCCTGGTCACACGAAGAAATCATATCTTCAAGAAAAGTGTGACTTTTTTATCATTGGACAGAAATAAAATCTAGTATTCATGTTTGGCTGAATAAAATAATGAGTTAGCTGTGACAATTTTTGCTTTTTATCAACCTGAATGAATTCTTTACTTTCAACTCGATCCGCTTTGTTTGGCTTTATATCTTCTGAATTGATAAAAATAGGTAGTAAAATTGCAATCCAAATAAAGACAATTTACCAGCAATGGACGCAGTGTTAACGATGATCCCACCGCTGCCACCATTATCTGCTCTCATACAGTCCATGGCTGCCGAGGCCAAGCGAAAGACACCTATCTGGAAAAAAATACCTTTTAAAAAAGAAATACGTTGGTGATCGTCGGTTTGAAAAAGAGCTCGTACAACAGTACAAACGATTAACTTGGGTATTTTGACCACAGAATAGTGTTACATAAGTTGTAATCATAAATTGAACTCGTCAACCTCAATGATTATGATACTAAAGACAACTCACCAAGTTCACTTCAATGGTTTTCTGTGGGATGCTTTCATCTAAGATCCCTGCGTTGTTACCTATGATATCGGGTGTTCCATAGACTTCCTTCACTGTTTTAATTGCTCCTGCAAAAAGTACATGTTTACACATTAAATGATGTGACTTTCCCCATCCTTAGTATACATGTTAACACAGGGTGAAGGCAGCATATATCGGGTATATCCCACACCTCACATAAACCTGTTAGTCAATTGCAATTTTATATTACAGGTAAAACTTAAGATATGGACACGAATACATTTATTAGCGATAAGAAAATAACCACACAGTCGGTTTTTGTTTTATTTTACTTTATCAGGTTATTTTCTTTTCCTTGTATAGATCACAAAAGAATGTGGTCTTGACCTTAAACTTACGTTCAACGCTCTTGTCTTTTGTGACGTCACACTCCGTAAAGATCACTTTCCCTGCATACTGCTCTGCCAGTTCTGCTGCCGTCAACTTTCCTTGTGTTGCATTGATATCGGCAATAACTACCTACAATTAAAACAAACAACCAAAGCTGAAAGATGCTTCAAGATTTTTACAAAATCGGGTTACGGAAGCGCGTGAATGTTTTAATTAAAATTGATCATATTTTTTATATACCTGAAGTAACTTACATGTGGTTTGGCATACATGAAATTTATATTTAATTAAAATTCAAATAGATATGCTTATTTTCCCAATCTTGAATTACATATCAAAAAATATCTCATTTTGTAGATATAAAGTGTTTCAACAGCACACTGACTTTATCTGTATAGTTTCCTCATATCTCTTGCGATATGATTGAAAATGTCATCTCATATCCCATAGCCTACTGAAGTAAACTCCTGTCCATGTAGACACAAGATCAGTTGAAAATTTATATTAAACTAAAAAATGCACTTGAAAAATTACAAATAAACAGATAAATACAGACGATAAACAAATATATAATTACTTATCGATAACTATTGCGCATTCACGATATCAGGTCAGTTTTCCTTTGAAGCAACAAAGATGTAAATTGTGTTTATAAAACATTGGTATTTCAAATCAGGTTTCAGCCTGGCCACTATTTATTTTTAAAACAGGAGCAAATCAAAGTCTTGAAAGCGTTTTGGTACCAAGCGATGTCAAACTTTAGGATAACAAAAGACGAAACGCAGTGGGTTGTGTAAATTCACATGATGTTCAGTCTCCCTTATTGCCAGTGTTTAACTATACACTGTTTGTAGAACAAAGTTCAAAAATGCTACCAGAATGCTTTCATGCCTCTACAACTAAACCCAACTGTTTTTCCCACAAAGTCAAAATGGGTCAATTAATTCACTGTATCTAGACAATTCAATCTTAGCCTTGAAGTTTCCGACTCAAATTTAACATTTTCTTGATTCCTCTTCTCCGCCTAACCTGAATACTGAACTACTTTGCATTTTGAGCGCTGATCAACCAGGCATTTGCATCAATTAACAAAATATCATTTTTAAAGTGGATATATCGAAGAAATTGTCTGCTAGACAACCACTACTAGCTGATGGCATTCAACAACTGTTTTAACTGGAATTCTCACCTTAGCTCCCTTTTTCAGCAGTGCCTCACATATAGCTCGTCCTATTCCCTGTGCCCCACCAGTAACAAGCGCCACTTTGTCCTGGATTATCATCTTGTTCCACCTTTGAAATGAAATTACTATTGCCTTCTTCCACAAATAATTTTATTCGTGCTCGTTTTTGTGCTGCCAACTTCCAACTGCTTGCAGAGCGACTGCTCCAGCTTCAGCTCCAAGGGTCGTCTGCGCCTGGCTTCTCAGCAGACGACATCCAAATTGTGCAAATGGCTTACTTAGTTCCGAGTTCTGGGTGAGTTTGAAATGATGAACTTTAGACTACACAGCAAACAGGGGGGATAGCATTACGTACTCGTATCATCAACCTATTTAGACACGATAAGATAAATATTTATTTAGTCAAACATACATATATATAACACAATATCGGGAATGAATTGTCCAGTAAAAGCGACGTTGTGTTTAAAAAAACTGGAACCAGTAAGAATAAAATAAATTTAATACTTAAGTATTTAAAAGGGATACAGGAGAAGGATTAAAGCTACATAAAATATGCTACTACTAATTAGATTTTTTAGTTAAGCCTATAGTTGCTTGGTAAAAATTAAAGGTTGTGAACTGGATGAAAAAACTGTCCCTAGTCAAGTAACAAGTACGTAGATTACACAAAATGTTCCGTTATTTACAAATTGAGCAAGTTCTGGAATTTTTGTCGTCTGCCCTTGGCTCTAACCTAGGTCTCTCCGGGCGTCAGGAAAAAGCCTTCTGATTACTCGTCTGACCTAAATAAAGGGATTAATCTCTGAATGAGGGAACACGTTTAAGAGTCAAAAGTGCTCGTCAATATACCTTCTACTGGCAGGCCTCAAGCACTAACCAGTACTTCAATCCGTGCTGTATAATTAACGCAGTTTCTCTTGATGAGATAAGCGTACAGGCTAAAATAGGATCTTTCATAAAAGTCAACGCCATGCACAGGCCTCTGTTTAATAGAGTATGCCAGCCCATGTACTCCACTTGTCACGTATCATTAGGCAAGAAACTCGTGACCCATAGCCTTTTTTTCCAGCTGCCGAATTGTTTTGGAATTGAAATTAGAAAAAGAACTTTTGAACTTTGCTCATACAACTTCAACTTGGTTGGCAGTTTTATGCGTTAAACAACATGGCTTTAAAACCCACCAATTTAATAATTGTTAAAAAGTTTCTCTATAAGCGTTTCGTTCTGGACACCGGGGTGTTGTCTTTTCTAGTGCCTCACATCTGTTTCTTTTTTTCTTCAGAGTAAAATAGTTACGGTAAACAAGCCTTCTTCTTTGAGTGGTCGTTACTGATATATTGGAAACTCGATGTCTCGCGGCGGACCCTTTCGTGAGATGAGCATAGCTGAACCATTCTTGCTTTCATCCTCAACTAGGTTTATGAATACATCAGCCACTGCAGATGGTCTAAGTGGAAAAAAGTATAAAAATATATTTTGAATGATAGCCTACTAATAAAAATACCATTATATTCAAATTTAGAAAGAAGCTACTATTAAGAATTGTTTTCTCGATATCGGCTACTTACGCAATAAGATTGAAATAAGATTTAAACGAGATATTGGAAGTCAATAAACGACGTTAAAAGCAGCCAGTTAACCTATTCGTTTCATACATCCTATATTGCAAGTTTAAACTATGTTATATTTTGCTATCGGTTCAAAAGTTGCTCGGGTCTCCTTCCAACATTCAGGTTCTAAAAGAGCAAAAAGGTATTTTAAAGCAGGACCCATACAGCAAAACCTTCATACACTTCATGTACAGTATATCATTAAAAACCTTAAATAATTTGAATGAATGCATTCTGTAAACCCTTTGAAACATGAAAACTGTGCAACGCAACACATACTTCAGCAGTAGCTGGTTCACTGCTTCTTTGATGTGATCGTAATGGAAAATAAATCCTTTCTTTTCGCCCTCTTTGGAAACACGCCTCACCATGGCGGTATCAACCGCATCTGGGCAAAGGCAGTTCATTCGTACTTTGTGCAAATCAAAATCTGGACTCATCTGTAAAATAAAAAATATGCAGACAAAAAAGTGCAGAATTTCTCTCAACATTTTTGCAAAATTTGCACCTGAGTTATCCGTCCCATTCTGGTTACGTTGCAAAGGCTGTGAATGCTACTCTGTCCGCCATTTTGGACCTCTGCGCACAAAGAGCACAATGCCGGGGACAGTCACCAAGTTTTAATTTCAATGCATGCCTATCTGCGGAATTGTGGGCTCTTTCCGTCGTCAGGGTGAAGAAAAAGGTATGAGTTTTTTTAAAGTACCGGTTTTTGCCTTCGCCCTAGCAACGTGCCTGTGCACCAGAATTAACAATATAATTCAGTCCTGTGAAATAACTTACAGCGATAGACCTTGTGAATCCAACAACACCATGCTTTGAAGCACAATACGAGGGACAAACGACATAGGGCATAATGCCTGAAAACATTAAAAGAACAAGATTCAATGCTAAGGTTTTCCAACTTCAAATAATTATTCTCCATTAGTTGATAGCTTTTAGAGCAAAAATCCTCTTTTTCGTTTTATTCACCACCCAGAGCGCGTCATGATTTGTAAATTGGTGTAAGATTGTGATAGGTTTACTTTGTTACTCCTTGCTTAGCCAGATACCATCATGAAAATTGGAATGCCGTACTAGATGGTGTGAAACACAATCACGTGCCATTGTTTGCATTAAAGGTGTTTTAATGTTTGCATTAAAAGTCTCTCATTACTATGGTCCTGTCAAGCTTTCAACATGTGTTAAATCAGTGTAATAGAAGTTTTATATCAGGTTACTTATATACGTTATCACATCAATATACAAATATCATTACCAGCATATGAAGCCGTATTTACAATGATCCCACCGCTGCCACCATTATCAGCTCTCATATAACTCATGGCAACTGCTGCTACACGCATCACTCCGCACTGGTATCACATAAAGTATTGTCAGTGGGAAAAAACATATTATTATTATTATTATTATTATTATTATTATTATTATTATTATTTGCAATATTAAGTCCATGTTTGTCTCGTTTTAAAATTTAGCACTTATAGGTTTCTCTTTGGGACTTGACAATGCCATTAACACTATGTTTAACATTTATTTCAATAAAATATAATTTTATTTAAAATGTAGGATTTTGCTTTTATTGCAATGTATACCAAGTAGCAGTTAAGTTTATTTGTCTGTTTAAAATATTTAAGAATTGCATTTCTAGCTAAATACAAATCAGTAACTGGCAATTTAGATCTCAAAAGAATTAGTTCCCACATTTGTGACATTTGGCACAGGAATGATATCATTTAGAAAACTCACCAAATTCAAGTTTATTGTTCCTATGGGATCATTTTCCATCATGACGCCTGCGTTATTACCAATGATATCCAGTCGCCCGTATGTGTCATGAGATTTTCTTAACGCATCTGAAAAGGAAATTGCAACCGTAAAATGTGCTTGGTAACTCTATTCTACTCCAATGGCCCAGGCTATTTTTAATAATAATGATAATATTTATAATAATATCGATTCAACTTTCAAATTATTAAAGTGTTTTTTTTTTTCATCATTTAGCCAATTCAGACAATTAAGCCAATTTAGAAGTATTGTTTTATCATCGTGTACAGTTCCCAGTGAAACACAGAATTAATGTGAGATCTCGGGCCATGTTGACACTGTGTCAATCCACTCAAAACAGGAGTTAACATGCAGTTGTGCCAAAGCAAAGGAACATTATAACTGAAATATAATAAAGCTTTTTGCTAAAATATCGTGTTCACCCTCCGAAGCTGCGGTACTGTATTCTTAGCCCCCGTCACACTTATTCGAAATCAGCAGGAATCAAGCAGATCCAACCGGAATGCCTAAATTTTAAAAAATTGGTACTACATTCGGGAAGAAATTTCAAATTGACCTAAATTCTTGTAAGAATGCCGTTGGAATACTTGGAATGCGCTTGAATCCGCCTGGAATGATTCGTGCACATTTCGGATGTATGCAGCTCAAATGTAGTCGGAAAACTAGGAATATCAATAGTGCTATCAGAATGCAGTCAGAATATTTAGAATACACTTCTAATGCCGTACGAGTGTAGTTCGATTGCTGGCTGAAATAGGATCAAGATGCATTCGAGTTGCATTCTGGCTCATTCTAGCAGGATTTGAAGTGACTTGACATTTCGGTTCCCCCTCGAATGTGATCAGAATGTTTCGAATGCTGTCGGAATGCCGTGAGAATATTTAGAATGCAGTCATAGTGCAGTTAGAATACTATTCAAATGCCATTCGAAAATTATCCACTTGGAATGCACTTCGAAAGTTTTTAACATGAGCAAAACATTCGGACCCAGCATAAGAATGGGTAGAAATATTAGAAATGCACTCGGAATTCTTAGAATGCTCTTCGAATATCCAGGAAGGCACAAAGAATTGTCTTTCCGACGGCATTCTTGCTCATTCCGCCTCTAGTTTGACGGGGGTATAAGCAATTTGGTCTTAATTTGTTTTTTGATAATGTGAGACTTGAAATTAATACCACAAACACGTTAGTCTTAATATCATAAATTAAATATCAAAAATAAATTTATATGCCATGTAATTGGTACTTATGAATACCTTCCACACTTTCCTGATTCGTGACGTCACATTCAATGAAGGTGACGTTATCAGCATACTCAGTGGCAAGCTCTGACGCCGTCGACTTCCCCTCTGTGACGTTGATATCGGCTATAATAACCTGAGAAGAGAAGTGAGTCGGGTTTAAGTACAGTGTAGAGAAATGTGCAAAACTATCAACGGTGATACGTTCCTACGAAACCGATGCAGAATAAATAAATGTCAAACAAAACACTTTCTGTAATCTGCACTCTTTTAATCTGAGCGTAAGTTCTGTATAAAACATCCGTATTCTGAATTAACCTCCAGCTGGGTAATAAACTAGAAGGCAGTTTTTTTTTTTTTCGTCTATGATAGCTGTTGTTAGGACTCGCTTTACAGTTAAAGCCATTTGAAATTCAATGCACATACGGTGCACGTACACTGCCCGTAAATCCCTTTTTGTATGAGCGGAAGTAGACGGTGACCGTGCGAAATCGCACGGAATCGTACGAATTTAAGGCCTCCGCAGTCTCTGCAATTTTGTCTAGCTGCACCTTTTGGCAAATGCTTCATATCGTCAGCCCGTAGATTGTGAAGTTGATAAGCCTTGATTACATTTGCCATGGGCGCTGTACGATGAAATTATACGATTTTCCGTACGATTTTTTTTAATCGTAAGTAGCTACGGGCTACGGCGAATATAACGCGCGGGGACCGTGTTATTTCTCGAACATTACCTCGAGGTCACGTGGGGAAAATCATATTTTGTTTGAAAAATGAAACGATTTAAAAAGTTTGTCAAAAGTTTCAGCTTGACAAAATTGTTAGAGGCTATGGGGGTCCTGAATCCGTAAGCATTTCGTACGATTTCGAACTGTCACCGCCTGCGGATTTACGGGCAGTTTACGGACATCGCATGGCAAATGTAAACGAGTTACGGGTTCTCATGGACCATTTTGCACTAAATTTGCGCTCAAATTATCATGTTATTCCTCATACTGTTATCTTACCTGTCTCTAATTTCGCATTTGGGTTTAGGAAGCTTAATAATAGTAAATGTTTTTTTTTCCTTTTTTAACTTGAAAATGTGCGTCTCCTTGATATTTCGACGTTAGTGGTCAAATACGCATGGGGGCTGCACCGACAACGTATCAAACAGCATTGCAGCCCCACGGTCACTGTTCACCAACTGCACAGTGGCTGAAAGGGCTCCGTATATGATTGCCAAACCGATCTTTCACGACCTGACCTCAAGGTCATGTAAGAGAAATGGCACGGCGACCGTATGTAATGTAGAAAAACTGCCCCTTGCTATCTCAAAAAAATAGTACGGTCAACCGTATACGATTTCATCGCACGGCGCCTGTGACAAATGATATCAGGCTTAACGCACGGATATGGAGAATAAAACATATTACGGCTAGGGTTACTTCTTCGGTTCAGTGTAACCAATACAGGGGCGGATCCAGAGATATTTTCTGACAGTCTTCCAAATTTTCTTTCTTAATCCATCTTCCATTTTTGACCGTCTTCCGACAGAAAACATTAGATAGCTGACGATGTAAACTTGAAAATCTGACCGTCTTCCAGAAGACCCAGAAGACGGCCTAAATCCGCCCCTGCAATATTTAGTAATACTTTACTGCATTAGTCTGGCCTTGGACATAATAACGTTATTATGTCCAAGGTCTGGCATTCCCCTTTCGTCAATCGCACACTGGGAGTGAGAAAAACTACCTTACAATCAGTCGTTGCAAGTCAATTTAAAAGTTACACGTAATACAGTGTGTATAGTTCACGCTACGTCACCTTGGCTCCTTTTTTCAGCAGTGCCTCACATATAGCGCGTCCTATTCCCTGTGCCCCGCCAGTAACAAACCCTACTTTGTCCTGGATGATCATACTGCCATGAACTTCAGTGCCTTGAAGGTAGTTTACAATCCCCGTCTGTAGAGAAAGGTCCCTAGAACAACAAAGGCAGGTTAACTTAAGAGAGGAAATCGCCGAAAATTCATTGAGTGTTAAAAGAATTGAAAAAGCAATAACTGGATACTATCATTTTGAAATAATTGAAAACAAAAAGTATAAAAAATACTTTCTCATGGTAGACTTAGACTTTAAAACGTTACAGTTAAATTAAAAAGTTAAAACGTTACGGCGGTACGTACCTGCTTTTCCTCAGAACAGTAAAGCAGGGATATGTGCCTGTAAACCTATGGCGTGTTCATTTTATGAATTTTTTTCTCGTGATTTATGAATCAAGTATCAAGTTACATGTACGTGACCCGTTTTATATAAAATGGACCTTGTGTATAGTATAGTATAGGTCCGTTGAGTCCATTGCAGTAGAAAAGTTAAGTTGTTCAAATTTGAATGTAACAGATGAGCTGATGTGATTCAACCCAATCGTGTTTTAATATAATTTATCGACTCTCTTTCACCCCACAAGTTTTATTTCTGGTGTCATAATGTGAATTGATATTTTATAGATATAAAATGCACAATTTATTAGCCTTATAGAGGTTTTTTGTTTGTTTGTTTGTTTGTTTGTTTGTTTGTTCCTTTATTACTTTTCAATTTCGTGAAAAAATCTTAAAGTGTAACCAGAGTAGAGACTGTTTTGGGACACTGTTTAAACATAAAATATATTATTGTTCATTTCTATCCAGAGTCCAAGAGCTCAATGTACCATAAATTATAGTGATTATACTGTATTATCTTTCGTGTAATCGTGTGTTTCTGCGCATCATCATATTCGTATTAATAAGGAAGCTCGTGCGGATTTAAATATGTGGAGGAGATTCAGGGCCGTAGCCTGAGAAAAATGCCGGGGGGGGGGGGGGGCAGTAAGCGGACATGAGGAGGCGAAGGCCCCGAAGAGTCTGCATTCTTTGCATATTACTATCTTGAAGTGTTATCCCATCGTTGCTGCTTTTTGTTCCCGCAGGACCACGTGCGTGATATAAAAAGTACTTATAACAACGAGGCTCTCATTTTTATTCTGAATAGAGTTTTTTATGCCTATTGTAAAAAATCATAAGGTTGTGAACTGGGTGAAAACTGTCCAGAGTCAAGTGAACAGTACATAAAAATCACACAAAATGTCCCCTGCAATCCTCCCATTTTCTACAATTGGGCAAGTTCTGGAATTTTTGTCGTCTGCCCTTTGTCTCTAACTTAGCTCTCTCCGCGCGTCCAAAAAAGTATTCTGATTTCCCATCTGAACTTAAAAAGGGATTAATCTCTTAATGAGGGGAGCACGTTTGAAAGTCAAAAAAGCTCTTCAATATTCATTATACTGGTAGACCTCTCGCACTTATTTCAATGCATTATAAACACTAGGCCTACATGTAAAAATGGTACTGAAAAAATGTTTTTTTTCTTTTAGAAATTTAAATAACATTTCATACAGAGCTGTGGCACTACCATAAAAATCTGTCTACAGAATGTTAGTGCTGAGGGGTCCTTACATTTATGTATTAATATTAGATATGTAACTTTATATGATCGAGTAGGCCTATTCTGCAACCTGCACTTTTCTGAATGCGCAGAACTTTTGCGCATCTCTCTAATGCGCATGCGTCCATACGCGAAAAAAAAAAAAGAATTCAGAATTTCTTCAAAGCCTTTTTATTGAAAAATTACGAAATTTCTGTAAGACTCACTATAACAAACAATAAGCCAAGATTTAACACAACTTGAAACAACCGCTATATTGTGATTGCCTTGACGATTGTGAACCATTTTCCACCAGATGTGTTAGTTGTGACAGAGTGCTTACCTATGCTTGCAACGTTGTTCTCTTGAATCTACCGAGTGCAAAAGTAGCTCGGCAAATGAAGTTTCTTTCTTTATCAATCGATTTTTTTTTTAATTTCCAAAATTCTCTACGTTCACAAATAAACCAAGAATTATCTACAAATAACCAAATTAAAATTCAGATAGATACGTGCACATAAAAGAGTAACGAATCTATGCCAGGCTTCTTCTGTAAGTGGTTGTCACTGATATACCGGAAACTCGATGTCTCGCGGAGGACCCTTTCGTGGGATAAGCAAAGCCGCTCCATTCTTGCTTTCATCCTCAACCAGGTCTATGAATACATCAGCCACTGCAGGTGGCCTAAGGGGAAAGAGAATTATATAAGAAATATATATAAAAAATATATATAAACACTACATGTACAGTATATCATTAAAAACAAAAAGAATGTATATGCCTACATTTTAAAACATGGAAACCGTGCAACGTTACACGTACTTTAGCGGTGGTTGCTTCACTGCATCTTTGACGTGATCATAATGGATAATAAACCCTTTCTTTTCGCCTTCTTTGGAAAAACGGCTGATCATGGGGGTATCAACCATGTCCGGGCATAGGCAGTTCATGCGTACTTTGTGCAAATCAAAATCTGGACTCATCTGTAAAGTAAAAAAATAATATACAGACAAAAATGTGCAGTACAATTTTTTTTATCTCAACAATATTGCAAAACTTGCACCTGGAGTTATGGTGTGTTTCGGTTTTATTTTCTTCTACCTTACAATTTGGCTGCGCACCAGAAGTTACAAGTCAATACTGTGAAATAACTTACAGCAATAGACCTTGTGAATCCAACGATGCCATACTTTGAGGCACAATATGAGGGACAGGCGAAAAAGGGCATAATGCCTGAAAAGATTAAAAAATCAAGATTCAATGTTGAAGTTTTCTAATTTCAAATATTGTCCATTAGCTGATGGCTTAAACCTGGTTTAAGGGAGATCGATACTTTATATTGACCAAATGGTCAAAATAGCTTTTACCCTTTATTCATATGGATAGATCTAATTTAAACAGATACTACTGCAGAAATCCCTTTTCGTTGTTTTGTCCACCACCCAGAGCGTATTTGCTTTTTCACAATGTCCCCGTACATGATTTGGTTTAAGATTGTGAGAGGTTTGTGCTGTATTTCCGTACCCCAGTCTTATAAGTCTAGTGGAGGGGGTCGGGGGGGGGGGTCCTGACCCCCTTCATTTTCTTTAAAAAATCCCACTAATATTCCACTTTAGAAAATAGATAGTTGACTAGCTCAATCACAGTTCTAAACCGTACCAAATAGCACCGTTTGTGCTCCAAAACACCAAGAAAATTTTCAAGGCCCTTGCGCGGGCCTCGAACCCCACGCCAAGGGGGCGTGAGTCGGTTTCATATCCGAGGCCTGTCATTCCTTAAATAAAAACCGAATCCCCCTTCAAGTAATCCTGGATCCGCCACTGCAGATGCCGTCATTAAAATTGTAATGGTTGACAACGAAGGTGTGAAATACAATCTGGTGCTAGTGTTTGCACTAAATTCGTCTTGCTTATGAGATAGAAGCGCCTTATTAAATAGAACCTATCAAACAAAGGCATTATTTCTCCTACTTACTGTAAAAAATCAGAAGTAAGCTTTTTAAGAAGATTACCTGTATCCATATTGTAGAACTTATTGTTGTGATTTCATAGGCTTTAAAACGATGCTGATAGCTGTTCAGGTGCAGGAGATTTTTGGCACAAAACGCTGCTGTTACGTCATCAGCACTAGTAAGCGCATTCACCCAGATGTATTTTTGATGTGACATCATTATGTCATAACATGACAAAGTTAGTTTCCGCATTATGTAAGCGCATAAAGTCCTTACGTATCGACCTCCGTTAACATCAAAACAAGAACATGTAATATTAAAAAAAACTCAGACGATCATCGACATGATAAGTTTTCAACATGTTTTTAAATCTGTTTAAGGCTTTTCTAATACGTTATCATACCAATATATATATATATATATACATTACCAGCCAGTGAAGCTGTATTGATAATGATCCCACCGCTGCCACCTTTATCAGCTCTCATGTAACTCATGGCAACTGCTGCTACACGCATCATTCCACACTGGTAATTTAAAGTTTACGCACGATCAATTAAAATAAAGATTTGTTATATCTCGTTTTAAAAATTTGCAATATGTTTAACATTTTTTCTATAAAATATAATTTTAACTTAAATATATTTTGGTTTTATTGCAACGTATACCAAGTAGCAGTAAATTCCATATGTCTAAACTGTTTAAAATATTTAAAACTCGAATTTATAGAGAAATACAAATCAGTAATCGAAAATCTCAAAATAGTTATTTTCCACATTTACGACCTTTGGAACAGGAATGATATCATTTTAGAAAACTCACCAAATTCAAGTTGATTGTTCCTAGGGGATCATTTTCCATTAGAACGCCCGCATTATTTCCAATGATATCCAATCCACCATATGCATCTTTTGCTTTTCCTAACGCATCTGAACAAGAAATTGCAACTTTAAAAGTATTTTGTAGCTTTATTACACGCCAATGGCCAAGACTATTGAATGATAATGTTAATATTTATAATAATATCGATTCAACTTTCAAATGTTTAAAGTGTATTTTTGTATCATTGAGACAATTCAGGCTGACATGGTGAAATGGAATCGGTGATACATGTATCTGGTGAATTCACCCACTTCTGTTTTAGAAGTCTTGTTTGATCATTATGTCCAGTCCTCAGGGAAAAATAGAATTAATGTGAGATCTCAGGCCAAGTTGGCACTTTGTCAATCCACTCAAAAACAACTTTCATGAACTCGCACTAAAGCAATAGGTCATTACGTCTTTATTATAATAAAGCTTTTGCTTAAATATCATGTTCTCTGTATTCTTTTGAGCAATTTGTACTAAATTTATATTTTGATAATGTGAGACTTGAAACACGTTAGTCTTAATGTTGTTAATTTAAAACATATTTCATACGCCATTTAAGCCGTACGTATGAACGTACGTATGAATACCTTCCACACTTTCTTGATTTGTGACGTCACATTCAATGAAGGTGACGTTATCAGCATACTCAGTGGCAAACTCTGACGCTGTCGACTTCCCCTCTGTGACGTTGATATCCGCTATAATAACCTGAGAAGAGAAGTGAGTCGTGTTGAAGTACAGTGTACACAAATGTGATACGTTTGTGTAACAATCTTGAAACCGAACAGATCAAAGAACAGTCAAGCAGAAAACTTTCTGTAATCTACAATTTTTTAAACTGACCCTAAGTTCTGGCCAAAACCTTTGCACTGTAAATTAACCTCAAGTTGGGTAGTAAGCTAGAAGGCAGGTGGCATTTTTTACGTTTATGATAGGACTTGCGTCACGGTCAACGCACAGGTATGGAAAGTGACACACAGCACGGCTAGGGTTACCTCTTCGCTTCAGTGTAACCAATGATTAGTAATACCTAACTTCATGCGTCTGGCATTCAAATTTTAGGTCAGCAACTGCATACTGGGAGTGATAAAACAATCTTAATAACATGTACAATCAGTCGTTGAAGGTGTAAAGTTACACGTAGTACAGTGTGTATAGTTCACGTTACGTCACCTTGGCTCCTTTTGTCAGCAGTGCCTTACATATAGCGCGTCCTATCCCCTGTGCCCCGCCAGTAACAAACGCCACTTTGTCCTGGATTATCATAGTGTCATGAACTTCAGTGTCTTGTAGGTAGTTTCTGATACTCCTCTCGGCTGTAGAGAACGGATACTTTCCTCGAACTACAAAAGCAGGGTAAATCGAGAGAGAAAATCTCCGAAAACTCAAAAAGAATTGTTAAACCAATTACTGGCTAATATTATTTCTAAATAATTGAAAACAAAAAAATATGAAAAATGCATTCTCACGGTAGAATTATACTTTAAAACGTTACAGTTAAATTAAAGAGTTAAAATGTCACGGCGGTACGTACCTGCTCTGCCTCAGAACAGTTAAGCAGAGCTATGTTCCTGTAAACTTACGGCGTGTCGAATGATGACTGAATGTTTTCTCACGATTTAGGGCTCAAGTGTCAAGTTACATGTACATGTCCCGTTATGTATAATACGGATTTTGGGTAAAATCTGGGACAGATGCGTCCACTGCAGTAGAAAAGTTAAGTTGTTCAAGTTTGAATTTAACAGCTGAGCTGATGTGCTTCAACGCAATCGTGTTTTTAATATAATTTATCAACTCTCTTTCACTGCACAAGTTTATTTCTGGGGTCATATTAATGTGAATTGGTATTTTATAAATATAAAATACACAATATACGAAGTTTTTATCCTTATAAAAGTTGTTTTTTAGTTTCTTTATTACTTTACATTTTCGTGAAAAAAATTTAAAATATGTGCAACCAGAGTAGAGACAGTTTTGTGACTCTGTTTTAACATTTATTCTATTGTTCTTTTCTATCCAGAGTCCAAGAGCTCAATGTGCCATAAATAATTGTAATTATACTGTATTATCTTTTTATGTTTATTTATGTTATCGTGTGTTCCCAAAGCGTATCATCATAAACGTCTTAATAAGGAGGCTCGTGCGGATTTAAATATGTGGAGGGCGTTTCCTCTCTCTTTCAACGACAGGGGATTCTTCCGTGACGAAGAATGGGATACCCCAAAGTATTACGCCTCTACACAGATGCCTATAGGACAAGTGGGTTCGGTGCCTGCCTTGGCGATTACTGGTTTTACGGCCATTGGCCTCCAGAGACTGCATCTTTGCACATTACTATCTGGAAGTGTTATTTCATCGTTGCTGCTTTTTTGCTCTGACAGGACCACGTGCGTGAGCGAAAAGTAGTAATAACAATGAGGCTGTAATTTTTATTCTGAATTGAGTTTTTTAAGCCTATAGTTCTTTGGTAAAATTCAAAAGATAGTGAACTGGATGAAAACTCTCCCCAGTCAAGTAAACAGTACATAAAAAATTACACAAAATGTCCTTTGCAATCCTCCCGTCATTTACAAATTGAGCAAGTTCTGGAATTTTTGTCGCCTGCCCTTGGCTCTAACTTAGCTCTCTCCGGGCGTCCAAAAAAGTATTTCTGATTTCCCGTCTGACCTTATAAAAGGGATTAATCTTTGAGTGAGGGAAGCAGGTTTGAAAGTCAAAAATGCTCGTCAATATTCATTATACTGGTACTGGTAGACCTCACGCACTTATTTGAACACGTGCTGTAAAATAAACGCATTTTTTATGAAAGTTGATATAATAATAATAATAATAATAATTTATTTACTAAAATCGCAACCTAAAGGTTGAAGTTTTACAATGTGTCTTAAATAATAAAATCATAAGGTATTTTAAAATTAACTAAAAATTATAAACTAAAGGACCAAAGACTTATAAGACAGTTTGAAGCAGTAATTTACATAAAATTTAAAAGACTGTGCATTATAAAAGATGATTTAAAACGCTCCGTTTTCACTTTTGGTATTTAAAATTTGTTGCTGACCCTGAGATTTCTTGAGTTCTTTTGTTTAAACAGATGGTGTAGCTTATTAAAATTCTTGATTTTTGTAAAAAATGCGTACATGCAGTAGTGTTACTCATAATGATGAAATTTAAATTGTTCAATTTCTACACAATAAGCTGAAAGCGTACCTGAGAGCTTTCGTCATAACACCTGGGACTTAATCAGTCACGCTGAATTTACCTGATAGTGTATAGTGACAGTGAATAGCGATCAGTTTAGTGACCTCGCATCCTTACCTATGCTTACTGTGTAGAAATTGAACAGTTGTAAATTTCATCATTGTGGATAAACGCATTTTTCTCTGGATGAGGTAAGCGTATCTTTATTTTATAACAATCAACACCATGCACAGGCCCATGTTTAATAGAGTACTGTACGCCAGCTTTTACTCAACTTGTTATGTGCCATTAGGCAAAAAAAACTCCATAACCCGTTCCCCCAGCTGTCGAATATTTTAGAATGAAATGTGCAACTTCAATTTTGCTCGTGTAACTTCAATTTTGTTGGCAGTTTTATGCGTTAAACAACACTGCAAATTTGCAGATTTTCTCTTTCTTATTTATCGTATTTAGAATAAATTCTTTGCAATCTCTTGGGGTTATGAGTCAGTAATCGCAACTGTTGATGTTCTTTTTAAATTTAATTGTAAATTTTATCTTTATTTCAATCAAGTCAATAGTGGCAGATTAAATTCAGCTCATATTTCAAAATTCCATAGTATCTATGTATATAATTCATAAAGCAATTATCTTTTTTTTTCTTACATACAGGTTCCCTCTTCCCTGAGTGATATGACATAAGCAAGTCCGAAAATAAAATCAGCAGAGTTGTAGTTTACAGGAAAAAAACTGGATGGAACTTGTCAACATAAACTGATTGAAGTAAAATTGAATATGACATTTTAAATGATTGTCAGGCACGTCACAAACTCTATTTATTTCAAAAGTAGGCATATATTCTACATGACTGTCATGTTGAAAAAATCCAAAACCAATATATAACTTGCATAAGGACAGGATACATAAGCAAATCAGATGAGATTTTTTTATTTGCACTGTTGAAAAAAAAAGAGATTTGCAAACATATATTGCATAAAACTGGAAAACTGCAACAACTTATTCATCTTTGTGCATTTGGTTTTTGTTTTTCTTTTTTAATAAAGAAATGTTTTATACGTTTGCACAAGTACTGCTACATTTATGTATAATAATTATTTATTATTATTATGTTCGAGTATAATGCAACCTGCACTTTTATATGTGTGCAGAGCTTTTGCGCATCTCTCTTAAGCGCAGGCGGCCATAAGCGAAATTTCACACGAAAAATTAATAAAGTTTCTTTCTTTGTCAATCGATTTTTTAATTTTCCGATTTTTCTTCGTCTAAAAAATAAACCAAGAATTATTTACAAATAACCAAAAAAGAAATTCAGATATATAAATGTAAGAGTAACGATATGCCAGCCTTCTTTTGTAAGTGGTCGTCACTGATATACCGGAAACTCGATGTCTCGTGGAGGACCCTTTCGTGGGATAAGCACAGCCGCTCCATTCTTGCTTTCATCCTCAACCAGGTCTATGAATACATCAGCCACTGCAGGTGGCCTAAGGGGAAAGAGAATTATATAAGAAATATATATAAACACTAAATGTACAGTATATCATTAAAAAAAAGAATGAATATGCCTACATTTTGTAAACCCTTAAAAACATGGAAACAGTACAACGTAACACGTACTTTAGCATTGGCTGGTTCGCTGCATCTTTGACGTGATCGTAATGGAAAATAAACCCTTTCTTTTCGCCTTCTTTGGAAACACGCCTCACCAGGGCCGTATCAACCGTATCTGGGCAAAGGCAGTTCATTCGTACTTTGTGCACATCAAAATCTGGACTCATCTGCAAAGTAAAATATAATATACAGACAAAGATGTGCAGTACACGTACATCTCAACAATATTGCAAAACTTGCACCTGGTGTTATGGTGTGTTTCGGTTTTTTCCTTCGACCTTACAACGTGCCTGCGCACCAGAAGTTACAAAAATCAATTCTGTGAAATAACTTACAGCAATAGACCTTGTGAATCCAACGATGCCATACTTTGAGGCACAATACGAGGGACAGGCGAAATAGGGCATAATGCCTGAAAGGATTAAAAGATCAAGATTAATCTTTAAATAATTATTGTCTATTAGCTGAAAAAACAAAAATCCCCTTTTTCGTTGTTTTATTCCCTACTCAGAGCGAACCTGTTCAGGGTTTATAAATTGGTGTTAGATTGTGATAGGTGTTTTGTAACTCTGTTACTCAGTCAGATCATCATCATCATCATCATCAATGCTCTTCGTCCCGTGTGGGACTTAAGGTCACAGTCACTTCTTTCCATTTGGCCCTGTCTCTGGCTACGTGCTGGGCCTGTCCCCATGTAAGGTCCCCCTCCCTCAGCTCTGCCATCACTGTTCGGCGCCAGGTGGTCTTGGGCCTTCCTCTCTCTTTTTCCAGGTGATGTCCATCTCAAAGCTACCTTTGGTACTCGGTTCTCGTCCATCCTAAGTACATGGCCGAGCCATTTAAATCGCCGACGCTTGATCTGCCCTACAATACTCTGGCTCCCTGTCAGTATGTACAGGTCATGGTTGGAGATCTTATTTGGCCAGAATATGCGGCAGATCCTGCGGAGACACCTGTTATGGAAGGACTCTGCTCATGTCAGACTTTGTAACTCTCCAGCATTCAGACCCGTAGAGCAGAACAGACTTCACATTGCTGTTGTAAAGATAGACTTCGGTGTGTAAGCTGTACTGCTCTGACTTCCAGATTGTGCGGAGTCTAGCGAACTCTGGGCCTTGCCAAGTCTTGCCGTGATGTCCTTCTGAGCCCTGTTGTCTTTGCTGATTAGACTGCCCAGATATGTGAAGTCGTCCACAGACTCTAGTGGTTTCCCACTGACGGTGATAGGTGCTGTCGTACTGTTGTTAATGCACATGACCTGGGTTTTGGTGGTGCTGATGGCAAGTCCCGCTTGTGCAGCAAAGTTACTCAGACGGTCAGTCTTCTCCTGGAGATGGCTGTGTTTGGAGGACAGGAGGGCAAGGTCATCGGCAAAGTCAAGGTCTTCTAGCTGGGATAGGAGAGTCCACTGGATGCCTCTGGGTTTGTCGGATGTTGTCTTCCTCATGACCCAGTCGATGGTTACAAGGAAGAGAATTGGAGTCAAGATACAGCCTTGACGTACACCTCAATCCACTGGGAACCACTCCGTCAGGGTATTGTCCAGGATAACACTACATTGGAAGTGGTCGTATAACATGCTGATTAGAGTGATGATCTTAGGTGGTACACCATATGACAGCAGTATTTTCCACAATGTCTCCCGGTGCACACTGTCAAAGGCTTTCTTGAAGTCGACAAAGTTGATGTATAGAGGCGTGTTCCACTCCAGGCACTGCTCGATGATGTTGCACAAGGCGAAGATCTGGTCAATGCATCCCCTGCCTTTCCGGAAACCTGCTTGCTCCTCTCTGAGTCTGGAGTCAATGGCTTGGTCAATACGCTTCAGCAGAACTCGACAGAAGATCTTGCTGGGGATGGATAGGAGAGTGATCCCACGCCAGTTGTCACATTCATGGAGGTTACCTTTCTTGGGGAGCTTTACAATGAGACCCTTTGTCCAATCGTCTGGTATCGTGTCCTTCTCCCAGATGGTACTGAAGAGGCCACAAACTTGCTGACTGACCTCTTCAGCATCAGCCAACATCAGCTTTCAGCGTTTCTGCATGGATGTTGTCAATGCATACCATCATGAAAATTCGAATGGTGTACTACGAAGGTGTGAAACACAGTCACGTGCCACTGTTTGCATTAAATGTGCTTTTTTATGAGATATGAGCATCTCATTACTATGGTCCATCAAACAAAGGATATGTTACAACTATTTACTGAAAAAATCAGATGTAAGCTTTTCAAGAAGATACCCTGATAACAGGTTACAGTACTTATTCTTCCGATTTTACGGGATTTTAAACGGTGTTGATAGCTGTTTAGGTGCAGGAGATTCACGATACGTCATCAACTCCAATAAGCGAATTCACCCCACGCATTTTTGGTTTTATTATATATTATCAGCATTATCTAAGCGAATAAAGCAAAAAATCCTAACGCATAAATCTCCCTTAACATCAGAGCGAGTAATATGTTTAGACGAACCTCAATGTGTCAAGCTTTCAACATGTGTTAAATCAGTATTATAGAAGTTTTCTATATGGCTACTTACATACGTTATCATATCAATATACAAATATATAAATATACATTACCACAATATGAAGCCATATTTATAATGATCCCACCGCCGCCACCTTTATCAGCTCTCATGTACCTCATGGCAACTGCTGCTACACGCATCTCTCCACACTAATATCATATAATTAAAAGCACGATTAATGGAGAAAATATATAGTGTGTTTTTTGTGATTATTAAGTCTATGTTTTGTCTCGTTTTAAAATTTAGAACTCATGCTCATGCTGTAGGTTTCTCTTTGGGACTTGACAATCCATTAACAATATGTTTAACATTTATTTCAATAAAATATAATTTTATTTAAAATGAAGGGTTTTGGTTTCATTGCTACGTATACCGAGTAGCAGTAAAGTTTATAAGTCTAAACTGTTAAAATATTTAAAACTAGAATTTCTAGCGAAATACAAATCAGTAACCGATAATTTAGATCCGAAGATTTAGTCCCCACATTTGCGACCTTTGGAACAAGTATGACATAATTTTAGGAAACTCACCAAATTCAAGTTGATTGTTCCTATGGGATCATTTTCCATTAAGGCGCCCGCGTTATTACCAATGATATCCACTCGACCGTATTTGTCATTCGCTTTCCTAAACGCATCTGAAGAAGAAATTGCAACTTTTAAAAGTTCTTGGTAGCTCTATTATACGCCAAGGACTCAAATTATCAAATAACAATGACAAAAATATTATAAAATAGTTATAATAATAATAATAATAATAATAATAATAATAATAATAAGAGGTCATCTTAGCAGAAGTTTATAGGAGCAGAGCAGGGTCAGTGTAATTGGAGAAGTTTCAACACTCTCATTCATTTCTTCAACCAGGTGAAATCTTTTTCGATTCAAATTTCAAATGATTAAAAAGTGAATTTTTGTATCATTTAGGCACCTCAGACTTATATGGTGATATGGAATCGGTGGCATTTGGTGAATTCTTCCCCTTCTGTTTCAGATGTCTAGTTTGTTAAATAATGCCAGTTCCAAGGGAAAATAGGAATGTGAGATCTAGGACCAAGTTGACACTGTGTCAATCCATTCAAAAAACAAGAGCTTACATGTACTGGTAGCAAAGCAATGGGTCATTATGTCTTTATTATGATAAAGCTTTTTGCTAAAATATCATTTCCGCACTCCCAAGCTGCGGTATTGCATTCTTATCAGCAATTTGGTCTAAATTTGTATTTTGATAATGTGAGATTTGAAATTATTTATAATTAAATGCCACAAACACGTAAGTCTTAACATCATTAATTTAAAACATATTCCATATGTCTTTTAAGTTGTACTTATGAATACCTTCCACACTTTCTTGATTTGTAACGTCACATTCTATGAAGGTGACGTTATCAGCATACTCAGTGGCAAACTCTGACGCTGTCGACTTCCCCTCTGTGACGTTGATATCCGCTATAATAACCTGAGAAGAGAAGTGAGTCGGGTTTAAGAATAGTGCAGACAAATGTGATACGTTTGTGTGAAAATCTAGAAACAGAAACAGTTCTGTATAAAACCCCGCACTCAGAATTAACTTCAAGCTGTGCATAAACTAGAAGGCAGGTGACATTTTTTGCGTTTATGATAATTATCGTTAGAACGCTTTACGGTCAACGCACAGGTATGGAGAGTAAAACACGGCTATGTTAATCTCTTGGTTCAGTGTACACATTGATATAATACCTCCCTCAGACGTCTGGTATTCAACTTTTTAGGTCAGCGATTACATACTGGGTGCTAAAAAAACAACCTTACAATCAGTCGTTGAAGGTTACTTTAAAAGTTACACGTAATACAGTGTGTATAGTTCACGCTACGTCACCTTGGCTCCTTTTTTCAGCAGTGCCTCACATATAGCTCGTCCTATCCCCTGTGCCCCGCCAGTAACAAACGCCACTTTGTCCTGGATTATCATAGTGTCATGAACTTCAGTGTCTTGAAGGTAGTTTCCAATACTTCCAAAACGTATGCAGAGAACGGTCCCTTTCCTCAAACTACAAAAGCAAATGGACGATACCTACGTAGCAGGGGTATCTCGGGAGAGAAAATGGCCGAAAAGTCATTGAGTTTTAAAATATTGTTAAACAAATATTGTTAAATTGTTAAACAAGAAAATATCAAATGAAAACAAAAAGTTCTCACGGTAGACTTTGAAGATTCATGATAATTCACCGTATAAATCTTAAGGAAAAAAATAAGTATTACTACCATAATCCCCGAAGAAGGCCTAGGGGCGGAAAGCTTGACATCTGTATGACATCCGTAAAGTAGATCTTCAGAGATGCATCAGTCATAATACTTATTTTTTCACGGTAAACTTTAAAACGTTATATTTAATTTAAAATTTAAAATGTCACGGCGGTACGTACCTGCTCTTCCTCAGAACCGTTAAGCAGGGATATGTTCCTGTAAACCTTTGGCGTGTCGAATGTTTGACTGAATGTTTTTTTCGTGATTTATGAGTCAAGTATCAAGTTACATGTACGTTTGTATAATACGGATATTGTGTAATGAATAGGACTGATGCGTGCATTGCAGTAGAAAAGTTCTAGTTTGAATGTTATGGCTGAGCTGATGAAATTCAAGGCAATCGCGTCATTTATTTATTTTATTAAATGCACAAATCAATCATAAAAGTAAGTCTTTTTCCAGAGCTTTGTTATTACTTTAGATTTTAATGAATAAATCTTATTAACTATGTGCAACAAGAGTGGATATTGTTTTGTGACACTGTTTTCAAATATATCGTGCTACTCTGTCCAGAAATTATTGTAATTATATTGTATTATCTTTTATGTAATCGTATTTGTTATAGCTTATATCAGTATGTGATCGATATATGTACCAGATTCAATGATTTGTAGGCCCATGAGGACGGGTGATTAATATACTTATATTTTCACATGTCACGTAAATAATTAATGCTACCACTAAAAGTAGTGTGTTGAATTTTTTTACGGTTTGTCCATGCAGTCGAGAAAAATAATTCACGCCCACATGAGAAGCATGACAATAATTGAAAGGTAAATTGTAAAGGCGGTACAAGAGTACACGCGTTTTGGATAATGTAATGCACGGCCAGCGTATAAAATAACAGTTGGTATTCAATGCAAAGCAAAATAAATACACAAAAAAACACCTTGAGAAAAAAATCCAAACACGATGCACTTTTAACACAGGTGTTCAGTGTAAATCAATGCAATATTTTAATATGTATGCAAAGTATCCATGGACCGTTATTCCAAAACATGAACTACTACGAAAAGATGATCAATATCTTTGGTGTTGCAACTTTTCGATGCGTCATTCAAGTCCAATAACAAAAAATAATGAGCTGCCAATTGAAAGCGAAAAATTTATATTGCCGAAAACGTTAAAACATTGTTTGATCTACAACATACTGGTAGTTTGCCTGTGAAGGCAGTCACCTTTCAAACATTAACAGATTTGTACCACCCAATAAAACCAGGAAGCTGATTGCCGTAGTCTTTACTAATATACTGGAAACTCGATGTCTCGCGGTGGACCCTCTAGTGTGATAAGCATAGCTGCTCCATTCTTGCTTTCATCCTCAACCAGGTCTATGAATACATCAGCCACTGCAGATGGCCTAAGTAGAAAAAATACATATAAGAAGCATAAAAAGCAGTCCTGTATGATAGCTTACAAATAAAAAACTTATATTAAAATACAGCCAAAAGCTACTAGTTAGAATCTTTTTCTCAATAATGTCTTCATGTGCATATTAACATTGTTACAAGATTGAAACGAGATACTGGATGCCAATAAACGATTTGGAAAGCAGCGACTTGATTCATTTTTTATATATCAAACAATACGATTTCAAAACTGTATTGCTTGCTAACGACATTAGATTGTTCGTGTTCCATTTCCAAAAGTCGGGTTCTTTAAAACCAACCACGTGTCATAAAGCAAACCTTCACGCACGACATGTACGCGTACAGTATACCATCAAAAGCGTAATGGATGAATATAAATGTGTAGATTCGGAAAACCCTGTGAAACACGCCAACAGCACAACGTGACACATACTTAAGTGGTTTGTTCACTACATCTTTGACCTCCTCATAAGAGAGAATGAACCCATCCTTTTCGCCTTCTTCGGAAAGATGGCTCAGCAGGGAGGTATCAACCATTCCAGGACATAGGCAAACCATTCGAACCTTGTGCAAATCATAGTCTTGGCTCAACTATGAAAATTAAAGTTTATATCAAAACAAAGATATGCAATACTTCTCTAAACAATTTTGTAATATGACACTTGAAGTGGTTTCGTGTGTGTTTAGGTGTTTACTACGCGCTTGTTCAACAGGATTTTTCGCCCCATATATAATAATGTTAAATAAAATAACTTACAGCAAAAGACCTTGTGAATCCAACAACGCCATATTTTGAAGCACAATAGGCCGGGCATGTGGCAAAGGGCATAAGACCTAAAAAGGTCAAAAGATCAAGATTCAACTTTAACGTTTTCCAATTCCAAATATTGTTCATTTGGCAGATAGCGTATAAGCCTGGTTTAATATCTGAGTAAGAAATGTTGTAAAAACTTATACTCGCACAACATCGATATGCCAACCTCTCAAAATTTGTTTAATCAGTTTAATGTCATTATATACGTTATAATAGCCATATGTGTATCATTACCAGCATATGAAGCCGTATTGACAATGACCCCACTGCTGCCACCTTTATCAGCTCTCATGTATCCCATGGCAACTGCTGCTACACGCATCACTCCACACTGGTATCATAAAAGCGTGGTCATTGGAAAACATGGGATTATATATTAATAGAGCACAATGCAATTACATACTTTGCATTAGTACTGAACTCCCCAGCAATGGGTAGAGCACTATTAAACTTGCGTGCTCGCCCGCGCGCGCGCGTGTGTGTGTACAAAAAAATCAAACCATTACGCGACAAACCCTATTAAAGCTCAAGTATTTTTGTTGATAAGACTGATAGTATTTTAGAAAACTCACCAAATTCAAGTTGATTGTACCTATCGGATCATTTTCCATCATGGCGCCTGCGTTATTACCAATGATATCCAGTCGGCCATATGTATCTTTTGCTTTTCCTAACGCATCTGAATAAGACCCCATTCCCAGAGATTAGATCGATCCAAACTAGATCGACCTAGCTCCCTGGGGGTTCACGCTAAATAGCTGTCAGCCGAGCGGGCACGAAAGTTAATTACCCCCTTACAGCTTGTAGTAGGCGGGGCGTACATTTAAGCCGGATTATCTGACAGTAATCTAGTGAGACTCCCCACGGGGATAGATCGATCTAAATGTCTGGGAATACGCCCTAAGAAATTGCTACTAAACAAGCACTCAGTTCTTGGGCGCTCTATTGTACCTTAGTGATGCAATATCATTAAGCAAATGATAATACATTATCGTACCAAAGCAACGGGCCTTAGTGTCTCAATTATAATAAAACCTTGTTAAAATATCGGTCGTGCCCTCACGCCAAAGCTGCAGTGTTTGTAATTAACAGTGCAAACACATTATTTTTTCTTTTAGGAATTCAAAACACATTTATACGCTTTGCAAGTCAAATCCATAAATACCTTCCACACTTTCTTGATTCGTCACGTCACATTCAATGAAGGTGATGTTATCAGCATACTCAGTGGCAAGCTCTGACGCTGTCAACTTCCCCTTTGCAGCGTCGATATCCGCTATAATAACCTGAGAATAGAAGTGAGCCCTGTTGATGAAGATGTTTTGTAAAGCTTTCAGCAGTAATTTATTTGTGTGATGTATCTTGGAACCGAAATAGATCAAGGAATAATCAAACGCCACACTTTGTGGACCTTTCTGTAACCCAGCCTCTTTAAAAACCTTAGAGGAAGCTTCCGGTATTGTAGAAAACATAAGTTTTGATCTAACCTCATGCTGGGACTTAAACGCAGAGACTTGTCAAAGCAATCGCCTCTATGCTGACTTTTTAGGGTCAAGGCGCATTAGGAAAACACATTACGAATGGGGTTGTGACTTTGGTTCAGTGCAACCAATGTTCAGTAATGCCTCCAGAAGTCTGGCATAAAACATTTAAAGTCAGTAATCGCGTACTGGTCGTAAATTAAATCAGCTACAAATGTAAGAACTGTTACTTTAAAAGTTACACGTACAACATGATGTAAATGCCATCCCCTCACCTTAGCCCCCTTTTGCAGCAGTGCCTCACATATAGCGCGTCCTATTCCCTGTGCCCCACCAGTAACAAACCCTACTTTGCCCTGGATTATCATCTTGTCGTGAACTTCAGTGTCTCGAAGTTTCCAACCCCCTTTTCGTTTGCAGAGAATGGTTCCTTTCCTCGAACTGCAAAAACGTGGACTATGCCTACGCTTCAGGGTTAACTCGAGAAAGCAAATCGCCAAAAAAACTCATTGTGATATTCATGGAAGTGTTAAAAGAACTGTTAAACACATCACTGGATAATATTATTTTGAAATAAATAAAAGCAAAAAGTATTAAAAATGCATTCTCATTTAAGACTTAAAAGAGTTAAAAGTGTACAAAACCCTATTTGTGCTGTACGGTACAGTTGTACGTACTTACTCTTCCTTAGAAGCAGGGATATGCTCCTGTTAAACTATGGTTGGCATATCGAATATTTGACTAAATGTTTCTCATGATTCAAGGGTCACGCATCAAGTTACACGCACATGGCCTATGTTGAATATCAACAGACATTGTGCTAAGTAAAGGACTGTTGCGTCCATTGCATTAGAGAAGCCCAAGCCAGAAGTTGTGAATGTATTATTATTAGGCCCCTACGGCTGAGCTGAAGTATTTCAAAACAAACCACGTTTTGTATATTCAATGTCTTTAAGTGAACATAGTTTTATTTCTTGGACCTTCACACTTCCATTTACAATATTTATGGTAATCTCACTGGATTTTACTACAGAAACGGAGTTCTGATAGAGCTGGAAGTACCATTCTGATCATACAGTAAAACACATTGCTGCCAAAGTGTAAGATTAAGATTGTTCAAGGCGTTTAAACATTTCCTATTACATCGTGTGCCCCAGTGATCCTGAGAAACCACACCGTAGACCAGTACAGTACAAAGAAAACCAGGAAGCTGATTGCCGTAGTCTTTACTAATATATTGGAAACTCGATGTCTCGCGGTGGACCCTCTACTGTGATAAGCATAGCCGCTCCATTCTTGCTTTCATTCTCAACCAGGTCTATGAATACATCAGCCACTGCAGATGGCCTAGGTGAAAAAAACATATATAAGTAATATAAAAATCATCTGAACCTTTATGATACACAATAAATAAAAATGCCATCGTATTAAAACAATCAGGTTCCGCTAGTTACCAAGTCCTCATCATCGGCCTCAGTCGTTGTCATATGATTATTAAATAAAGAGATATCTTGAAGGGGAAGATACTGATCTAATAAACAACAATTTGATCAATATGTTCCACACAATGTCATTTCAAAACTGTGCTGTTTAATATCGACTCTAGTTCATTGGTGGTAGATGGCGGTAGTTTTAACAAACAAAGCACATCATCTTTAACAGTTATCTGCCAACTTAAAACCAGGCCATTGCATTGTCAGGGACGCAACAATTAAACGTTTATGTATACATGATGGCAAAAAAAATTAAACAGGCACAAGTACAGCAGAGGTGTTATACACACTGTGTACAACGAAACGCATACTTAAGCTGGGGCAGATTCACGGCGTATCTAAACCGATCAAAATTTAGAACTCTTCCTTCCTTGCCGTCTTCATCTAAGACGCCTTGTATCATGGGGGTGTCAACCATACCTGGACAAAGGCAGTTCATTCGCACTTTGTGTAAATCGAAGTCGGGATTCATCTGTGCAGAAAAGAAATACTGGTAAATTATTATACATGTGCATGTATAAAGTGCCTCTCTAAGCATGCATTGCTCGCGTTTTAAGCTAATACGTGCAACATCGATTTTTCTTAAATCTACGAAGAAACTCGATATTTCAGATAAGTTTACAATTACTTTGAAATTATGCTCTGGCGATCGGAAGGCACTCATATTGAATTCTGTAAAATACGATAACTTACAGCAAAGGATCTTGTGAATCCAATGACGCCAGACTTAGAGGCACAATAAGCGGGGCAATTATAAGAGGGCTTAACGCCTGAAAAGATTAAAAAATAAAGGTTCAAAGTCGATCGGTATATGTTTAACGCTTTTAGCAAATTACCCAATAGGCAGATAGCGTAAGATTGCTTAAAACATTCATCAATATGCCAAACTTCGAAATTGTGCTAAATTGATTCATTATCATTATAGTTCGTCATCAAAAACATAAGGTCCTAATAAACATATATACATTACCAGTCAACGAAGCCGTATTAATAATGATCCCACCGCTGCCACCTTTATCAGCTCTCATGTAACTCATGGCAACTGCTGCTACCCGCATCACTCCGCACTACAGCATCACACAGTCAAAGCACGGCCAATGGAATTTATGAAATTGGATTATTTATTTATTTGTTTATTTATTATGAAATCTTAAAAAAAATCCCAAGACAATAATTCGCAGCCAAATATTAAGCGCACATGATTATAACCTTAAGAATATAGTTTCCAAAAACTAGACCAAAAATGACCGAGCATCCATTGAAAACCACGCTGAAGTCCACAGTATATAAAGTAGTGCGGTATATAAGAACTGGACTTTCTTATTCCCAGATTTCCTTCTTCACCAAGGACTGAAAAATACCTGATTTTAGGAAACTCACCAAATTCAAGTTGATTGTACCTATCGGATCATTTTCCATCATGGCGCCCGCGTTATTACCAATGATATCCAGTCGGCCATATGTATCTTTTGCTTTTCCTAAGGTATCTGAACAAGAAATTGCAACTCAAAAGGTAAATAAATAAATAACAAGCTTTTGGGTGCTGTATTTAATGTCAATAGTTTAACATTAGTAAATAAATAATACGTTTTCGTACCAGAGCAACGGATCTTGGTGTCTCAGTTATTATAAAACCTTGCTAAAATATCGGTCGCGCCAAAGTTTCCATATCAGTACTTGTAATTTCATACATGTAATTTGGCCTAAGATTGTTTTTTGAAAAATGATACAATAAATGAATGCCACAAACATGTTATAGTCTTAACGTTATAAATTCAAAACAGATTTAGTATTTAGTATGATATGCAACTCAAATTCATGAATACCTTCCACACTTTCTTGATTCGTCACGTCACATTCAATGAAGGTGACGTTATCAGCATACTCAGTGGCAAGCTCTGACACCGTCAACTTCCCATTTGCAGCGTCGATATCTGCTATAATAACCTGAGAATAGAAGTGGGCCCTGTTGAAGAACACGTTTATGATGCACAGGTTTCTGCAGTGATACGTTCAAATGATATTTTGGATCTGTAACAGATCATAGGCAGACGCTGCTGTGTACTTCTTCTTCTCTGGTCTTTTTTAACCTGAGGGTAAGCTTCCGACTCTGTAGAGAGCATACACTGTACGGCCTTGGAGTAAACACATTTTTATTTAACCTCAATCAGAGTAATGAACGAAGAGACAGCCTTTGGTTCTACGTAAACGGCAATCTTGGTTATGACAGGCTGTCCCTTATTTTAGCAGACAACTCGACAAAGGAGAACCGAATTTGACTCTCTAAACTGCTTTCAGTTTTAGCTGCTAAGATGTCTGTCACGACTACTGAAACTGCTAAACGTTAATTTATTACCCCCTAGCAGCTTCAGTAGGCGTGACAGACATCTAAGCCTCTTAAGTTGATAGCAATTTAGCGAGAATCCCCTTGGATCCCAGTTCGATGTAAGCAATGTTAAATAACACCTCCTGACTTCAAATATATAAGACACCTTGATAAGCGTTTAAGCTCACCAACTGCATTGCTAATATGAAAACCAGTAGCATATGTGGTTCCCACACAAGTTTCATATGGTAAGTAGGTCACGGTCCCTCACCTTGGCTCCTTTTTTCAGCAGTGCCTCACATATAGCGCGTCCTATTCCCTGTGCCCCACCAGTTACAAACGCCACTTTGTCCTGGATTATCATACTGTCATGAACGTCAGTGCCCTGAATGTAGTTTCCAACCCTGCTCATTTATCTGTAGAATACTGCCCTTCAGTAATGAGAAGCATATGTAAGACCCCATTCCCAGAGATTAGACCGATCCAAACTAGATCGACCTAACTCCCTGGGGGTTCACGCTAAATAGCTGTCAGCCGAGCGGGCACGAAAGGTAATTACCCCCTTACAGCTTGTAGTAGGCGGGACGGACATTTAAGCCGATTATCTGACAGTAATCTAGTGAGACTCCCCACGGGGATAGATCGATCTAAAATCTATGGGAATACGCCCTTAGATGATTACGCTGGCTGGCGCAATAAGGTGATTGCTGCAAGCTAAATGGGATACAAAAGCGTTAATACCACCATTCAGCTCGTCATAGGATGATATATATTGAGTATTGCACACGGTATCAGGACAATCCCCCCCCCCCCCAGGATAATTCCCCCCCGGACGATTCCCCCCGCATAATATATATTTATATACAAATATAAAGTAAAGAGTACAAAGTTAAAATATTTTGATCCATTTTCTGAATATTTCTTAGTGTGATGATGCAACTGGAGGTTAAATAATATCAATTTCATTAAACAAATTACTTTCATGGAGTACAAGTACATAAAATTGTCAAGATAGAAGTACGGAACATTTTATTAAAAATCTGATCAAAGTTTATCTCCAGGTAAAGGAGGGTAAACTGATGTTCTCATTCATCCAGGTAACCCTTTGATGAAGTAACTGTTACTTTTAATTGCTTTATTAACCCCCCCCCTTTGATTGAGTAAGTCTTGCATCAAGGTGCACCTCTAGATAGAGGTGGGGTTTTCTCGCTTATCCAGGTATCCCTTTGACTATTTGTCACTTTTAGTTACTTGACCACTACCCACCACCCACCACACTAAAAATATTCATAAAATATCTGTTTACCTGTTCATCTGTTTACCCCACCTTTACCTGAAGGACAGGTGGTTATACTTCGATTAGATATTTAATAAATCTTTCTGTACTTGTACTCAATGAAAAAGGAATTTGTTATAAAATAATTTGTTTCATGATGAAGTTGTATTTTCACACTTAAAATATCAATAAAAAGGAAGAAATGTTTTTAGCTTTACACTTTCTACTTTATATTTGTATATTAATATATATTTCTTGGGGGGGGGGGGAATCGTCCGGGGGGGAATTGTCCGGGGGGGAATTGTCCTAGAATCATTGCACACAGAGCTACATACGGGACTTAACATGTATGTGTAAACACGTTATTCAAATTGTTTACTGTTACGTAAACTTAAAGTAATTTAAAGTAAAAGTTATGTTTTTTACACACACTCTTTTTATACTGGTTTACTATACATAGCAATAGCATACAGAAATATGCCTGTGATATTTTCACCGTTCGCCCTCTAAATTACCAAAATTGTTGGAGATGGCGGGGGGTCGGCTTCACATCCGCGCGCCTCCCCCCCTCAAACAAATCTGGATCCACCCCTGGAGCGGGGGGGGGGGGACGGCAGGTACCGGTTATGAAGAACTGGGACGTCGCCGGCCAGAGTCGAACCCACGTCTTTTCTATCCAGACCTCATAACACTATCCTGTGAAATTAAACTAGGCAACAAAAACTCCGAAACATTTGACTAAATATGCTATTGCCATTGTGGACTTTAGAGGTATTATCATATAACGTATTGTCTAACAAGCAACTTGTTGCCTTATATTTTCACTGAGCAACAGAGGGGGAAATAAAAATATGATACAAAAAACGTAACCCTCAAAAAATTTCAAATGATTGAATGGTTTTTGGCATTTTCTATGATTTATAAGCCTAGCTTTGTTATAAATATACCATTAATTTCAGTTTCTCTGAACACTCTTGGAAAGAAAGCAAAATGGCGACAATTCAGACCCACTGTACGGAAAATGTTCAAAATCTTCATGGGAACTATAACAGCAAGGCAATACAGCAACATATCAAAGTTAAAATAAGTGAAGGGGCTAACAGGGTAGGAATGGTAGTTGGGAAACAAAGATAGTCGGTCTTAAAGCAATAGTAAATACCCCAAAAATTGTCTATCATTCATGATAAAGCATAGCAATTAAATAATATAATTATGTGTTAATAGTTTAGATGTCATTTAGATGATGTATATGCCATTACACATTATTGTTACCGATTGCAAGGTTTATTCTTTAGGTGCTTGTAAGGCGTATTGTTTTCAAAAACAGAGATTTAACCAATTCAATAACAACATTTTATTGCAGCGCCCTTTCTAAATTGTCAATTTGAATGACATAGTTAACAAGGATAAAGCACTGTCTCGTGTCAAACCCTTCTACGCCGTGAAATGTAACAACACTGAGCCAGTCGTGAAGACCATTGCTGCGCCAGCAGCGCTGAATTCCAGCAGGTTCTAAACCATTATATACACGTATGCCCATCCCTGTAAAGATCCCCAAGACATCAATCGAGTTCTGATTGCTTTCATATAAGTTCCACTACAGAGCAAAGTTGCTGGTGTCGGTTTCTCATAAAGGCTACATTTGCCAACAATTGCATGAACAATTACCAAAATTATATTACAATGTCGTTGTTTTAAAACTGGTTGATTACAAAAGTTAAATATTCTTATCTCTGGTCTGGGAAAGCGCGTCCTGTAGCTCGTGTCTGTATTCATCTAAAGCTAAATACGACGTTAGAGATCTAGGCAAATTGAGATTACTGAACTTGCTTCCAAGAAATTCGTTTTTCTTTTTCACACGGGCAAGGCTCCCTCGTAAAACTCTGCGGCAGGCATTTTTCAAAGTACGTGGTTGAAAAATAATAGACCGCAGCGCTTCCCTCATCTCAACGGAAATGCCAATTTCGTTGCTTTCGTGAATCGAACCTTGCAAATAGAATTCTTTTTTTGAACACCCGCTATCATGTAATAATTTCACATTTCTGACATCGTTCTGGTTTATTAAAGAGTATATATAAGAATTGACGTAGTGTGAGCGAGAATAAACGTGTCCTTTTGACTTCTCTAGTTCACAACCAGCTTTCAATAGTAATGTAATAACGTCCTGTTGCTGGTTCAGCACCGCCATATCTAACGCGCTAGAAGCCTCGTTATCAAGTATTTCAAGGTCACAACCTCCTGGAATTGAAATAAGAATGCACATTTAAAA